TCAATCATGTTAATTACGCCAGCAAATAATAAGAATATCTTGACCTAAAGCGAGTTCATGCCCATTATAAATTCACAAATAAATTATTGTCTCATTAATACATTCGTCATATAAAACATGTAAAGTTGTGCAACAGACCATATTTATGAAATAATTCCTACACAGCTTTTTCTATATGCAACATATATGAATGTCACATCTGTACCAAAACCTCCTTCACAAATTGAAACATCCTTGCATTCTTGGTATTATAAAATATTTGCACAAATCGCCAAATGGAACCAATGACTTCACAGGCAGAATTAGAATACCTTTATTTTACAAACTATTGCCTTATAATTCAATAAATTCCGAAATAAAAACTTTTACAAAAACAAGTGCAAATATTTTACAATCAAATAAGAATAGACTAAATCGGTTTCCCTTTGTGACTCCAGCACACACAGCATACCAAACACTCAACCACCGTGATGCGAGCGTCTGTCCGTCTTTTCTCTGACCTTCATTCCCTCCTAGCCATTTGTCCTTGCTTGCCCGAGCCAGAACTTGAATTCAATTAAAAATAAAAATTCCGACAAGCACAAATTAAATCCTTTTCGTAAGAAGAACAAATAAAAGTGTTTACAGACGTTGGGGGGTTGAGTTGTAGTTTTTGTTTCTCACTCCAGAAACTTGCTTTCGATTGCCGTTCGCTTTACCCATCGTTCGTTGCTCCGGCGCTGCGGCTCTCGGCACATAATATTGCTTTTGCCGTTAATGGTATGTCTACATGTTTGCCTTAATGTATGCAGCACAAATATTGTCTCACCACAAGGAGCAAGACAACGGCGACGATTTGTTTTCCTTTGGGAAGAAGCTACTGCTTATTTGCCTGGCGAAACCAGCCAGTCCGTGTCTATATGCATTAGTTGTGTTCAGTATGCATTACCCTTCCAAATGCAAATAGACAGAGTGAAAGTCAAATGCTTCGTTGCTCGTCGAACTCGTTCATTTATATGCAAAGTCTTTTCCGTTCACTGAGGTCTCACAGAAGATCCGGTGTAAGAAGATTTCAATTCTTGTTGAAGGTAATTTTTGGCGAGTAGTGTTTAAAGCTCAAAATAAATATTTTAACATTTCTCTAAATGAAAAGGACACAATGCTTGCTGGGGAAGTAGTTTGAGGGGCCCGTTTGAGAATTCATTATCCATTCAATTGGCATGCGACGAGCACGAGCCAAATAAGCAAAACAACTTAGCTGGCATTCTATGAGTCATAAATAGTTATTAAATATAGTAATAATGTTGTAAGAAATTAAATTAAATTTTAAACGCTTAAGCAAGAGTCTTCGAATTGCATGTGAGTCATGACACCCGCCTAAGTAGCTTTATTGCTGTCTCTTATACACATCTAGATGTGTATAAGAGACAGGGCATTCTATGAGTCATAAATAGTTATTAAATATAGTAATAATGTTGTAAGAAATTAAATTAAATTTTAAACGCTTAAGCAAGAGTCTTCGAATTGCATGTGAGTCATGACACCCGCCTAAGTAGCTTTATTGTGTCGTTGGCTGTACGGCATGCAGCGCCACCTTGTTGGAACCAAAGRTCGCCCATACCAACATCCTCCTATTCAGATACGAAAAAATTATACATGATTGCCCAATGGCGTTGCGCAATTACTGTGACATTATGGCCGATTSCACACAAAGTATACAATATATAGGATGTCCAAAGGTGTTTGTTGAGTTGTTTCCACCTCATTTTCTTCCTTAAAGGTTCGGAAGCTAGCGTCCGGTAGGATTCCCCAGCATTGCTGCGTGGACTACAATAGGGCAATGGCCCCTTAACCCGCGCACGGTGTGGCAGACCGTGACTTTGACTCCTCTTACCTGGTTATTTTTCTWTAAAAGCGTTTATATTCTTTTTATTTTACAGAAACTATAGGATGTAATAAAACAAAAAATGTCAATTGTTAGCTTAAATTGTTTATTACTTTAATGAATATAAGTCTTTCCAAAACAGCCTAAAAAAAATATTTACGAAAAACTGTTTCGTCGATCTCACAGACATGTGCGCGGGTATAGGAAGGTTAAAAGCCCTAGTACTAGGAGGAGRATAAGCTTACTGAGGACAAAGAGATCATCTGATCTTTTGCGATACATCTTGGGTCAAACGGCTTTTGCGACAGCCCACTGGTTGTGTCCCAGCGCTGACCAAGCTTCCGCGAAGCCCAACTATTTAATAGTACACTGCAAGGGGATAATAAAACACAGATCCTTTCTCAATYTACCGATAACGGCTCTAGGGTACCTTTAYCAGTCTTATCACAAATATATATAGCGAGTTAGGCAGTCCTCCACCAGCCCTGAAAACACTGTAAATGAAYTCAAGGCTTGTATCRCCGCTSTGCTATCTGAATGGATGGTCACTACTCTGAAAGGGATTATGTCATACGAATAATCGCGCGAATCGAAGCAAATAAGATCCGTTTTCTCTTTCGGTAAAAAATGCTTTTTTTTTACCAGAACTTAACCCACAGATGGCTAGTAAGCACACAGTCTCTATTCAGTATAAAATAGCAAAGCAAGCATAACAACTCCAAAAATTATTGCCTCTGTGAAATTCTATGAACATCTAAAAGACACCCACTACATAAGTACATAATTTTTTGGCGAGTGTGCAGCCTTTGATTTTTAGTACTATATTAATATATGTGTCGTACAGTATGATATACATATGTACTTATATAAGATCAACAAATCCGAATTTATTTACAAAATTAATTAAAGTGTGGTTTGGATTTTATAATATATTAAACACTTCGCATATAACWTTCCACTGATAAACTGTTTGCGGTACCTTTAGAAACGGTGTCGAGACATTTTTTTTCGATCATTTATCGACATTTCTTTGCCCTTTTACACAACAAATTGYTGTTTTTCTAACATGTGGCTCATGCAATTCACAAATACAGCAATAACAAKAATGCCGTTTGTTAAATGCTTAATTTAATTTTAATAAATGCATTTATTAACGGATGCCCGGTCAAATGTTAAAGTTCCATAAAAATTTCTTTCCTATACATATTCCAACGAACAGTTATGAAAATCAAAACGAAGAAACGGACCAGAAGTTTTTAAAGAAAACTGCACCTAATCAAATATGTATAAGTAATTAGAAAAGATATGTCTTCAATGGTCATGATCTAAARAAACAGCCCTCGAATTAACGACCACAAATTATATACAAAAGGCGTTTACACAAACTTCATAGTCGTTAATTCAATTCGATTTGTTACTTCAAATGGTGTTTGAAAAAAGCGATTTATTTATTTGTTTTTAATAATTTACCCAAGAAAATTATGTTTACTATAAATTATT